AGTTTCGGGGGTGCCTGGGTGGCTCAGTCGTTAAGTGTCTGCCTTCGGCTCGGGTCATGATCCCAGGGTCCTGGGATCGAGCCCCGCATTGGGCTCCCTGCTCAGCGGGAAGCCTGCTTCTCCCTCTCCCACTCACCCTGTTTGTGTTCCCTCTCTTGCTGTCTCTTTCTCTCTGTCAAATAAATAAATAAAATCTTTTTTTAGATTTTATTTATTTGACAGAGAGAGACACAGTGAGAGAGGGAACACAAGCAGGGGGAGTGGCAGAGGGAGAAGCAGGCCTCCCGTGGAGCAGGGAGCCCGATATGGGGCTCGATCCCAGGACCCTGGGATCATGACCCGAGCCGAAGGCAGCCGCTTAACTGACTGAGCCACCCAGGCGCCCCAAATAAATAAAATCTTAAAAAAAAAAAAAAAAAGAAATCAGTTTCGTTGTTGAGTCTAACTTCTGATATTTTCCTTTGGGATAAATTCACTCAGACTTTATCTGGGCCTTTTGACTTCAGAGGTGAAGAAGGAAACCAGAATTGATCATAGATTTCAGAGAATTATTAGCATTTTGACACATTTTTTTATTAAGGATTTTGAACTCTAACAACTGTTAAGAATCTTTACAGGGTGATGCTGACAGTTAAATGCATTTAAAAAATCCTATTTCTGATTTAAAATATTTGATACTTTTATCCTTGTTAAGAAAAAAGCAGTGCTTTTCAGAAGGTTGAAGATCACCAGAATTGAAAATTCACTACTTGCTAAGCATAATAGCAAAACCAGAAACTATGAAAGAAACATTTGGTATGTTTGCACTAAAAAAAAAAAACCTCTATGATAGCCACCATAAACTTTGTTAAAAGAAAAATGTCTGACTTGGAAATATATTTGTAACATAGATAGCAGGCAAAGGTTATTTAATCCACTTAGGAAAATAACAAAACGGGCAGAGAACAAGAACAGATGAGTCACAAAGGAAGGAATACAAGGTGCCAGTAGATATGTGGATAGATACTCAGCCATGCGTGTAATTGAAGAAATGCCAGCAAAAGAAAGAAAATACCCAGAGTTTTCAAATGTGTGGGAAATGGCCACTCCCAGATATGGTTTGGTGTTAAGTTTAAATGTGTACAGACCTTTTAGAGATAATTTTAATATATATCAAATTATAATTGCATATCCTCCAGTTCAGCAATTCCACCTTTGACAATTTATCCCTAGGAAAAATTTGGATACATGTACAAAGATAGACATATGAAGGTGCCTGTTGTAATAGTGAAAACTGAGAACCAACCTAAATATTTATCAGTGGTCATAAATAAATAATTTAATATCTATACATTGCAGTTTTATGGCAGGCATCATTTTTTCCTCATTTTCTTTATTGTAAAATACACCTTACATTTACCATCTTTTTTTTTTTTTTTTAAAGATTTTATTTATTTATTTGACAGAGAGAGAGAGGGAGGCACAAGCAGGGAGAGCAGCAGGCAGAGGGAGAAGCAGACTCCCCACTGAGCAGGGGACTCGATCCCTGGACCCTGGGATCATGACCTGAGCCAAAGGCAGTTGCTTAACCTATTGAGCCACCCAGGCGCCCCTTACATTTACCGTCTTAACTATTTTTCAAGTGTACAGTTCAATGACCTAAAGTACATTGTTGTGCAAACATTACCACCATCCATCTCCAGAACTCTTCATCCTGTAAAATTGAATCTCCATATCCGTTCAACAGTGGCTCCCCATCCCTCCCCAACGCCCACTTTTTCCAGGCCCTGGCAGCCACTCTTCTACTTTCCACATCTGTAAATTTGACTACTCTAGATACCTCATGTAAATGGAATCATATAATATTTGTCTTTTGTGACTGATTTATTTAGCGTAATGTCCTCAAATTTCACCCATGTTGTAGCCTGTGTCAGAATTTCATTCTTTTTTAAGTTTAAAATATAGGCATTTTTAGAATTTAATTTTTGAGTGGGTAGAACATCTGTTCAAATTCAAGAGGAAGGTTGGGAGGAGGGAAGATGGGAAGCGATTGCTGATTGGCATGGAATTTCTCTAAGGGGTTATGGAAATGTTCTAGAATTGGTACTGTTTGATGTACAACTTTTAATATGCTAAAAGCCACTGAATTATACACTTAAAACAGGTGAACTTTATGTATGTGATTTGTATTTCAGTAAAGCTGTTACTAAAAAAATTTCAGTGTCAGTTATACTTCAGGTAAAAAAATTTTCAAGAGGAATACAATAAATTTCTAATAAAGTGTTTTTAGAAGTTGTCCCTCAACTATTCTAGTTTTACTTTTTTTTTTTTATATTAGAGCGAGAGATAGAGAGGGAAGGACAGAGGGAGAGGGAGAGAGAGAATCCCAAGCAGGCCCCACACTCAGCACAGAGCCGGTTACAGGGCTCGATCTCATGACCCTGAGAGCATGACCCGAGCCGAAATCAAGAGTTGGATGCCCAACCGAGTCACCCAGATGCCCTCTTGTTTTGCTTTTTAAAAAAATTGTGTGACTTTCCAGAAATACTTTTATTTCTTATGCATATTTTATTTATAGTAAATAGTAAATATTACTCCCCCACTTTTAACAAAAGTGGTAGTAAATTGAACATGGTGTTCTACACCAAGCAGACATCTCTGAAGTCTGTTTTTCTTAGTTTTAGGTAAAAAGGTTTTTTTTTTAAATTACAAAAGGAAATAAAAATCAATCACAGAAGGATTACATGGTTAGATAGTATAGAAAAGTATGATGTGAAATGTAAAAGCTATCCATACCCAGAGATAGTCATTGGTAATTGTATATCCTTTTTAGACTTTTATCTCCATGTATATATACTCTTTCAAAAATTAGAATTGAGGGGTGCCGGGATGGCTCGGTCGATTGGGTCTGCCTTCGCTTCGGGTCCTGATCCCAAGGGTCCTGGAATTGGGACCCGCATTGGACTCTCTGATCGGTGGGGAGTCTGCTTCTCCCTCCCCATCTGCCTTTCCCCCTTCTCGTGCTCTTTCCCTCTCTCTCACTCTCAAATAAATAAATAAGATCTTAAAAAAAATAAAAATTAGAACTGAGATCATCCTATACTTGATATTGTGTAGTCAGCTTTTTTACACTTAAAACAATATATTGTGATCATAGTTTTTAATCACTAAATATGATCTTCATTGTTATTCTTTTTATGGATGCATAGTATTAAATTGTGTGGACATTTTTCATTTACTGTAGCTCATCACCTATTAATATCTATTTAGGTTGTTTCTAATTTTGTCACTATTATAAACAAGAATGAGTATCTTTGTACATACACCTTTGTACCCTTGCCAGGTCATTTCTTGAGATATTTACTACACTGCTATTTTGTAGTCCACCAAAATTTTTTAACAACATATGTTTTAAAATATAAATTACAAAGATTTCCATTTTATAGGGATTATTATCTCTATAAAAAGATGGTGCAGGTATTTAAATCCTTATTTATTTTTAAATATGAGGAATCTGAAATGCAGAAAGTGGCATTGTGTCCAAAATTGCATAGCAGTTAGTGTGAGAGATGGCGCTAAAACTCACGTCTTCTATTTATTCATTCATTCATTCATTCATTCATTCATTCATTCATTCATGAGAGACACAGAGAGAGAGAGAGAGGCAGAGGGAGAAGCAGGCTCCCAAGGAGCAGGGAGCCCGATGCGGGATTCGATCCCAGGACCCTGAGATCATGACCTGAGCCGAAGACAGACGCTCAACCATCTGAGTCACCCAGGCGCCTGTAAAACTCACGTCTTCTGATTGTGGGTTAGCGTTCTTTCTACCGGGGCATACTGCCAGTCCTTAAATACCTTCAGGACAAGGGGTGATTTTGTTGTTGCTTCTTCATTTCTAAAAATATGATTCTTGTGACATACTTTTGGATTCTTTGTATAATGTGCTACAATTTATCCATTCAGATTAAAGGTACATATACCTTCATTAGGGGTACAGGCTAAAGATAGGCCCTCTCAAACATTTTGTAGTTTATCTGCATTAATATCTTCATTTAATTACTCACCTATATTCTTATCTTTCCCTGTATGAAAAGCTCTCATAGTCTGTTTTTTTTTCCCCCTCTTTTGAAAGCTTTAAGTCATTTTATTTTCTCTGGGTAGTACTAGTTTCAGTGGGTTGGGAGAATAGCTTTGGTTTCAATGACAGCTCCATTATTTACTATGTGATCTTGGGCAAGTTACTTAAATCTCTGTAAGGCTAGGGTCATCATCCGTAAAATCAAAATAATAGTACATGTGTCATGGGGATTAAGTGAATTAACACATAAAAAGTGCTTGGCACAATTTGGTAGATACTACTCATTAAATGTTAGTTATTATTTAATATGTGAATTTAAATCCTTAAAAGTCATTTTGTGTTTTGATATCCTTTGTATTTTTTTGTGAAACTTTTTTTTTAAATTAATTTGAGAGAGAGTGTGCGGGAGTGTGGGGGGAGGGGCAGAGGGAGAGAATCTCAAGCAGACTCCCTGCTGAGCGGGGAGCCCAGTGTAGGGCTCTGTCTCACAACCCTGAGATCATGACCTGAGCTGAAATCAAGAGTTGGACAGTCAACTGACGGAGCCATTTAGGTACCCATTTTGGTGAAACTTTTGTATGATGTGTTTGTATTCCTGTAGATTTTCCCTTTTTCCTCCCCTACCCTTTAGTTCTATGTAATACCTTCTACTGATTTTGAACAATATCTTTATTTTGTCATGGTTCATGCAAAGTGAGGCGCTGTCGTACTTACCTTGTTTCCTGTTGGGAATAAACACAAGTTAAATAACTGAGATTTTATAGATTATCTCGATCATTTTTTTAAGACAATGTAAAACAGAATAATGCGAATCCTAATTTATTGAATTCAGGGTTCTGAGAGCCGTGGTAGCTACTTTCTGACTGACTTCCCCAATCTGCTTCGTTTTTTCTACTTGAGGAGGAAAGCTGATTTGGGGTTTTCTTTTTTGTCTTGATTCTAGCACATGCAGATGACAATCCAGGCTCTCCAGGATGAATTGCGGATCCAAAGGGACCTGAACCAGCTGTTTCAGCAAGACAGTAGCAGTAGGACTGGTGAACCCTGTGTGGCAGAGCTGACGGAGGAGAACTTTCAGAGGCTACATGCTGAGCATGAGCGGCAGGCCAAAGAGCTGTTCCTTCTTCGAAAGACTTTGGAGGAAATGGAGCTGCGTATTGAGACTCAGAAGCAAACCCTAAGTGCTCGGGATGAATCCATCAAGAAACTTCTGGAGATGTTGCAGAGCAAAGGGCTTTCTGCTAAGGCTACTGAAGAAGACCATGAGAGAACAAGACGACTGGCAGAGGCAGAGATGCATGTCCACCACCTAGAAAGCCTTTTGGAGCAGAAGGAAAAAGAGAACAGTATGTTGAGAGAAGTGAGTGACTGCTTTTTCCCTTAAGACTTACTGATGGTCTTTTTTTCCCCCTGAATAGTCAGCATCTTAGCTTAGATAAATTTATATGTTCTACTGAGTTAGTGGAAAGTAATTTCTTCTTTGGTGTTTAAGTGCTTCACTGATTTCTCTTTTGATTGGCTCTCTTGAGTGAGATGGCATTGACTGGTATGTATACTGGCTTGATAACTTTCTGTATCTTTTTTCCCCCCTCCATTTGGTTTCTGTAGACTCATTTTGTTGCTAGAGGGGCAGAGAATTTTCTTTGTTACTCATCTCTTAATTTGTTCATAGAGACACACGCAACAAAACCAGAATCAGAGTACCTAATTATTATTTAATTTTAGAATATTACTAAGAGAAAGTAAGGGGTTACCTCAGTTTAGGTGTGCTTATATAGTCCTTGGCAGTAGTAATGGATGTTTGCCCTGTGGTTTCCATGGAAACTTGCCTTGCTGTAAAAGATACGTAATAAAAATCATTTGCTGCCATGGAGGCACAGTGAGAAAGAATGATACAGAGGCACACTGCAGTTATTTTTTATAGAGGAAACTCAGACTTTAGCTGACCACTGTGACTGTTGATAATTCTTTGCTTTTCTAGGTAATGATTCATTTTAAGGAAGTATAAATGAAAAATTCATCTTACATTGAATTAAAAAAATTGACATATAATTCTCTATATGTGGCCAGAGACTTTAGCCATTTGGATGGGGAAAAAAATCTCAGAACTGTGTTAGTTTTAGTCTGAATGAAATATGAGGAAAGAAATTTAAAAAAGGTGGAATATTCCCAAAACAGCAAAATAGCAACTTTAAAAGACTACTTCTATATTTGAAGTTCTATAACTTCTCCTTTTATAAAAATTCTGAAATATTTATTTACAGTGAGGATATTTTATTTTTGATAAAGGGGAAATTCAGTGTTTTTTAAATAACATGATTTTATTACGCAGTAAAGTCACTGTAGGTTATTGTAGTAAGATTAGGAAATAGATTAGCAAAAAATCAAAACCCCAGGTATTGTTACCTAGCGATAACTGTTATGTATATGTTTACAGTCATTTTTATTATGTATACATTCTTTTTATATTTCTTTCTCTTAAAAAGGTAGAATACTCAGGGCACTGGGTGGCTTAGTCGGTTGAGCATCTGACTCCTGATTTTAGCTCAGGTCATGATCTCAGGGTTGTGCAATCAAGGGATCGAGCCCTGTGTCCTAGGGCTCTCTGCACTCAGCGGGGAGTCTGCTTGGGATTCTCTCTACCCCTTCCCCCCCTGCGCTCTCTTGCTCTCTCTCTTAAATAAATAAATCTTAAAAAAAAAAAAAGAATGCTATCCATTAGTATTGTCTAATATAACTTTCTGTGATGATGGAAATGTTTTTTATCTGCTCTGTTCATTATGGTAGCCACTAGTTACATGTGCCTATTGAGCCCTTGCATGTGGCTAGTGTGACTGAGGAACTGAATTTTAATTTCTATTTAAATATAATTAATCCAGAATTAAATTTAGTTAGTCAAATTTAAAGTGTCTACATGCAGCTAGTGGCTACATATTAATGCAGGTATGCATAATGCAATGTCACCTGCTTTTCTTAATAATTTGTTTTGACCACCTTTCTTTGGTCAGGTACAGGTAGGGTTTTGTAATTTCTAATGAATTTATAAAGTTCCATTGCATTTATTTGAATACCTTTTGCTGTTGAAAATTTTATTTTCATATTAATTTTTCAGTATTATAAAACTGCTGCACTGAATATCCTTAACCATGTATCTCTGTACATTAATTTTTGTGTTTAGGATAAATTCCTAGAAATGAATTTGCTCAAAGTGTGTGTACATTTTTGAAACTGAATAATCTTATCTTCCAGAGTGATTGGACCAGTTTATGTTCCTAGCTGCATATAATGTGTTCTTATGATTAATCTGCAGCTATGTACATGTTACGCTCTTCAAATTATCAGACTGTGATATTTTAGAAAATTGTTAATCAACTGCTGTGTCAAGGAACATTCTGAGTTTGTTTCAGTTTACTTTCAATTTACTTTACTTTATGACCTGGCCATAGAACACTATTAGAGAAGTTGTGATAATCTTATACAGCATGCAACATGAAGTCTGTACCAACATCATGAATTTTGAATGTTAGGTTTTTAGTGCTTCTGTTCTGAATATTTCGACCTATGCCTATTTATTTATTTTATTTTATTTTATTATTTATTTATTTATTTATTTTTTAAAGATTTTATTTATTTATTTGAGAGAGAGAGAATGAGAGACAGAGAGCACGAGAGGGAGGAGGGTCAGAGGGAGAAGCAGACTCCCTGCTGAGCAGGGAGCCCGATGCGGGACTCGATCCAGGGACTCCAGGATCATGACCTGAGCCGAAGGCAGTCGCTTAACCAACTGAGCCACCCAGGCGCCCTATTTATTTATTTTAAAAAAATATAAATTGAAGTAGAGTTGACATACAATGTTATGTTATTTTCAGGTGTACAATATGGTGATTTGACAAGCCTATACATAATGTGCTATGCTCACAACAGTATTTGCTACCATTTGTCACCATACAGTGCTATTACAATACCATTGACTATATTTCCTCTGCTGTACCTTTTATCCTTGTCACTTATTCATTCCATAACTGGAAGCCTCCCCTTTACCCATTTTGTCCATCCCCCCAACCCATCTCCCCTCTTGGAACCATCAGTTTGTTCTCTGTATTTTTGGACTGTTTCTGCTTTTTGTTTTTTCTTTTATTTTGTTTTTTAGATTCCACAAATAAGTAAAATCATATATTTGTCTTTGTCTCACTTTTTGCACTTAGCATAATACCCTCTAGGTCCATCCATGTTGTCGTAAGTGGCAAGATCTCATTCTTTTTTATTATGCCTATTTAATTTTGAGTTTTGGAGTTAATAAGGGGTGAATAGTTAAGGATTGTGAAAAGCCACATTGTTATTCTGGCAGAGAACAAGCAGAAAGATGGTGAATTTGAAAAACCAGTAGGAAAAAACCCATGAATTTAAGGCTTATTTTCAAGTAACAAGCTCTACAAATATCAAGTCCCACTTACGTACATAATGTGGAAAGAAATACAGGCCTTGTCAATCATACCAACACACAATTCCAGTTGCTGTTAGTAACATAGCATCATTTTATAGGAGACAAAATCATACGAATTAAAATCTTTAAGAGCAAGTGGAAATGATTGCTTCAGAAACAAATGTTCTTTTTTAAAAAAGATTTATTTACTTATTTTAGAGAGAGCAAGCACAAGTTGGGAGGGGGGCAGAGGGAAAGGAAGAAAAGCAGACTCCCTGCTGAGGGAGAAGCCCTAAATGGGGCTTTATGTCACAACCCTGAGATCATGACCTGAATGAAATCAAGAGTCAGATGCTTAACCGGATGAGCCACCCAGGTACCCCTGGAACCAAATATAAAAAAAAAAAAAAGAAAAAGAAAAAGAAATCTTTAGAATTCTTGTTTTCTTTTCAGTTTCTCCTATTTACCTTCAAGACTTAGACCAAATTTCAGTTCTTCTGTGAAGTTTTCCTTGTGTAGCTTTATACATATATGTAGATGAATCAATCATATATTTATATTTACATGTATGTTTCTTCATCATTCACTTAATTTTTTGCATCAAAGATACATTTTTTTTAAAGATTTTATTTATTTATTTGAGAGAGAGAATAAGATATAGAGAGAGAGCATGAGAGGGGGAGGGTCAGAGGGAGAAGCAGACTCCCTGCTGAGCAGGGAGCCCGATGCGGGACTCGATCCCGGGACTCCAGGATCATGACCTGAGCTGAAGGCAGTCACTTAACCAACTGAGCCACCCAGGTGCCCCTCAAAGAAACATTTTTTTAAAAAGATTTTATTTTATTTATTTTATTTTTATTTTTTTGAGAGAGATAGACTGCGAGCTGGGGGGTGGGGATGGAGTGGAGGGACAGAGGGAGAGAGAGAGAATCTTTTTTTTTTTAAAGATTTTATTTATTTATTTGAGAGAGAGAGAATGAGAGACAGAGAGCACGAGAGGGAAGAGGGCAGAGGGAGAAGCAGACCCCCCGCTGAGCAGGGAGCCCGATGCGGGACTCGATCCAGGGACTCCAGGATCATGACCTGAGCCGAAGGCAGTTGCTTAACTAACTGAGCCACCCAGGCGCCTGAGAGAGAGAATCTTAAGCTCCATGCCCAGCACAGAGCCTAACACAGGGCTCAATCTCATAACCTTGAGATCATGATCTGAGCTGAAATCAAGAGTTGGTCACTTAACCAATTAAGCCACCCAGGTGCCCCTAAAGATCTTATTTTTAAGTAATCTCTATACCCATCGTGGGGGTTGAACCCACAACCCTGACCATGCTCTCTTACTGAGCCATCCAGGTGCCCCCAAAGATACATTTTTTTAAAAGTTTACTTTGAAGATTTATGTATTAGAGAGAGAGAAAGAGGGGTGTGCATGTGCATGTGCATGTGCACACGTGTGGCGGGAGGCAAAGAGGGAGAGAATCCTTAAGCAGACTTCCTGCTGAGCCGGAAGCCCAACCTGGGGCTTGATCTTACAACCCTGAGATCATGACTTGAGCCATAATCAAGAGTTGGAAGCTTAACTGACTGAGCCAATGTGGTGCCCCACCAAAGATACATTTTTTTTTTTTTAAATCTTTATTTTGCCAGTGTCTAACAAATACAGAAATCGAGAAATGTTAGTTGAATAAGTTGAAATGCAGGCAAAAAATTTAAACCTGGAACTTACAGAAAGGATAGAGTTTTGAGTTTTTTTTTTTCCCTGGTGTGACCGGGTACTAAAACCTGATGAAGATTTGAAAACAAGTTAAATCCCAAAGCTAGTTTTGCTTATGAGTTCACTTACACATGTTATAAATAAAATATTAGCAGATAGAATCAGCATTATGGTAAAATGATAATACTCCGATCAAAAGGAGTTTATTCCAGGAATGCCAGAATGGCTC